CACTGGTCTTGCCAAAGATTACCAAGGTAGCAAGAGACAGAGCCTGGATTACAACTCAGTCCTCAGAGGGTCTCTGAAATGTCTGTGAAGCTAAACAAGGCATATACACCACACTGAACTCGAGTCATATCTGTAAGACCCTGGTTTTACTTTCTGCTTAATCCTTAAATCCTGACGTGTTCTTTTGCGGTTAACAGATTTAGCAACTCAGCTGCTTTGGAATGAAATCATTCCCGTTATCACAGATTATCACCAATCGCCAGTAGCGTTGGCTTTTCTCCTGGGACGTTTGGACTTGGGCAACTTTTCTTCTGGCTCTTCTACGCTCACAGTGTAAGTGACATCAGGGATGTCTGTTCTTGTTTGAAATTCATCATCAGTTACCAGTATCTACGAAACCATCAGATCTGAGTATGGGACAGTTCGTTTCTCTCTGTAGCTCATCCCCACCAGTCAGCACACACCCTGCTCTGTTCACCTGAGCTGTCACTCGTTCCAAGGCAACTGTGGATTACTTCTGGGGTGTCAGTGTCCCAAATAGCGATGAGATTTCTCAACACATCAACATGCCGTATGCTTCACATAATGTACCAAGCAGTTCTGGCATACAGTTTTTGGTGATTTATGTCTCAGCCTAATGGCTTCACATAGCCATGCTGTTGGCAGGGGAAAAAAGGCCACTGGCCTGTTTTAATTTAAACCCCCAATGAGTATGCTGCACATTTATCAGTTAGTAATAAAATGCTCACATGCTGGCAAGCTATTTTTCTAACTGCAGAAGCCATTTACAGAGCAACCCACCAAACACAGGTGACTTTAACTTTATGTACACACAGCAGAGGTGTGTATATCAAGGGAATTTTGGAATTTCTGTGCAAGTGGTTCTATTTCTTGCTATTCTCAGGGCTGTAGCAAAGGAAGACCGATAGCCTATCTTTGTATGTTTCTTTTTCTCCAGGGCAAGAGTGAATGTCTGATGTGGCTGCAGCTTATAGAGACTTATTAGATGTGCCCTCAGGGGCATATTTAATTGGAACAGGCATCTCATTTTTAAGTTCGTCCTCAGCAAATACAAGAGTTGCTGTCGAAGCTTTACCTTTTTAGGACTAGTAACTCGATTTGGTGGTAATGCTGAAAGCAGGGCCGCTAGCCATGAAGACTTGACATTAACCCCTACCTAGAGTGAAGTTTCCTTAGCCTTATCTAAAAACAAATACACACACAAGAACCCAGATACAGAAATGTTACTAGCTCTGTTCTCACAAAACCACTCAAGCAGTTAATTCACTAGAAGTAGGCATATTTTTCTCCTCTCGTCTGTTACCAATTTCACTTTCTTTGGCTGTTTTTGTTTTTATCTTGTCCTGATTTTCAAGGAACATGCAGAATATTGATAAGGAAATTCCACATTCTTTGACCATTTCACTTTTTGACTTTTCTTCTTAACTCACTACCTTTTAACTCTGGAAAAATTGTGAGCTCAGTATATTTTCTCTTTAACACCATGACCAGAACCCAGTGTATGAAGTACAATGGAAATGACATGCTTAACAGAACACAGACATCCGACTCATGGCCAGCTCTTGAAAACTGGCCTGGCCAACTGAAGGTACAGTCCCGACTGACTAAAGGCAACTGATTTCCTTCAGTTTAGAACAGCAGAGCTGATGTCAAACTGTCAAAGAAAGGGCTGATGTCAATACAAAGAAAGGGCTGATTTTAATAATCTTAATAACCAACTAAAAAATAAAATCTTTTTTTAAATTAACGAATCCTAATGACTTTGAGGTAGATGAAGCTGTTGTCAGATAATGAAGTAATTAGGTGTAAGATATAAAAATAACAAAATTGAGCAAAAGAAAGCACTGATTTGAAATTATCTTCTTTTAAGTTCAGATGGAAAATTAAGAGCCCATCCAATTCAAAGTTTTGGCACAAAATCCGGGTATGTCATGTGGTGGACTTGCTTCTTCAACTGGAGATGAACTTGGCAGCCGATGGAAAGAATCCACACTCTATGGAACACCAAACTACAAAATGACTGTCCCCATGAAGAAGCCAGTGACTTTGCATTTGAGTTTTCCAATTTGGCTCATTCCCCAAAATTCAGGCTTTGGAATCCTAAAGTCTGCTTCAGCACTTAACTAGCTCTTTGTTGGTGGAAGGGGTCGGGACTGTCTCTCCACACATAAACTGATCCTAAGACAGAACAAGAAATTATATTAATCACGGAGTGTCTGTGTCACAGATGCATCAATGGTATACTCATTTTGTTACAGAATCAATCCAGCTCTGCTAATCTAAGTTTTTCCTTTGCTCTATCACTTCATTCTTGTTCAATGAGTCAATGCCAGCATCAGAATCATAATCTTACAAATGTATCAGTTTTTAGTTCTGAATTCATATTTAATGCACCTTACCTTATAAACAAACATGTCCCTCGTCACTACAGAGCACCCATTTCTCAGAAATCACATTTATAAAACAGACGTCACACCTTTTAAGTTTCTGTATTAATTACTATTTGCACTACTACTTCTCCACTTCAATATTTGGTCACTCAAATACCTACCCTCTTCAAAGTAATTACTTTTTTCAACTAAAGGGATAGCTCTTTATGTTTCCCAACATAGATAATCTGCAAATTAGCTATTTTGTAAATGAAGTTCAATCTCTGATGATTTAGCCTGGCTTACACCAGCCAGTCCAGGAAACCTCTGCCTCCCAGGTTACCCCTCATCTCCTGCAGTCTGATCCCCGTAAGGATCTGCCTGTATTCTGTCCCTATCGATCTCTGACTCCTGCCCAGCACCTGGAACCCTCCCACTGTGTTCTTTGGAGTTTATGGTCCACCAACAACACAATGCTCCACATTCTTTAAAATGGCCCTGTGCCTTCCTGCTCTAACACAAGGTTCTCAAGGGGTAGCGGGGAGGAGGCGTTGCTTTTGTCTCTGGGGATATTTGGCAATGTGTGGAGACATTCTGGGTTGACATACTGTGGGGTGCTACTGGCATCTAATGGGTAGAGGTCAGGGATGCTACTAAACAAGCTACAGTACGTGATCACCCGATTTAAAATTGCTATCTCTTCTCATACCAGCACTCCTGCTCACCTTTACCCTGTTTTCGTTTTGTTCCAGAACACACTTAAATGCAAGAATAAATCAGTAAACCTCTTAAGTGTAGTCTAAATTATAGCCTGCTTATGTCATGAGGCTAAGTGCCTTGTTCCCCCACCTTGCCTGTACTCATTTTAGAGTTCATCCTTAAGAATGTTAAGCTTTGTTATATGACAATTATATCTCAAAAACAACAACAAAAACAAAAAACAAAACCCAGAGAAAAGAATGTTAAGCTTCTTATGATGTTAAGACTCCATTCAAAGTAATGACCAAAAGTTGGGGTGGAGATGGGCATTTATTTTGTTTTCTATTGTCAATATCCTTGGGTGAAAACAGCAGGACAACTAAAGACTAAAATGAAAATTGTAAAATTGCAACTATGACTTACATCTCAAACAAGACAATGCAGAGTTCGACGTATAAGCCAGGTAAGAGACACTATACAAATGTTCCCTCAAAATAAGTCCAAGAGCTCTAAACAATTTTAATTGCTTATTAAATAAGGGAGGAATAAACACTGTCAATTAAATAATCTTTATAATTATTTCCCTCTATTTAATAAGTAATCATAATATTCACTAGATACAGAACAGTTTTCTTTACTGCCTTCTCCAAAGCTAAAAGAGTTAATCAATTTGAGCTTTTAAAATTTTAATTTACCATACAGCTGCTTATTAATGGTTTTAAAAATTTGTTTTAAAAAACACAGCATTTACCTAACACAAGATTAGAAAACATTCTGCACCTACCTATCACAGGCAGACTACTCTAGGTGCCTGCAACCCTCCCCCCACCTTTTAAAATTTGACTCCTTACTTTGTCATAAATCACTTTTATAATGAGAGAGCAGCTAGGGCACGTTGCCACGTCTTCCCCATTCTCCAAATCTTCCTATAACAAAATCGAACACCGCACGGTCAGCATAGTCTTCTCTTGGCGATCTCCTTCTCCCAAACCCTCCCATCTCTGTGGGCAAGCTCCTTTGAGGCTGGCCTCCCCACAAGGCATGTGAGGACCAAAAGCATCTTCCAAGAGAAATGCCAGCCCCACTCTTCCCTGCAAGCGTCACTTGGGATAAACACCCAGGAGAGTGAGTCAAGGTTCAGTCGCCTCAAAACCCCCAGGAAGACAAAAACACATACCTTCCTCCAAAAGAGTACCCCAGGAAGTGGAAGCTTAAGTTGGGAAGGATGGCGCCATCCACACCCTCCCCTCCCCGCTCCGGCCCGACTAAAGGCCAGAACCAAGTGCCGCCGACAGCGCGGAGTATCAAATTTGGGGGAATTCAGAAACAGATAAAAAAGGACGTGGATAACTATGAGCCGCGTGGATCGGCGGCAGGAACTCGGCAGAGCGAAAGCGCGCCTGCTCCTTGGAGTCGCCGGGCGGGTCCCCGAGTTACCTTGGTGATGCAGAAGTTATCTCCACACGGACAAGGGTAGAAGTACGTCTCCGAGTCCTCGTCATATTGGAAGTCCTCAATCTCCACCTCGTCGTGAAACACCGCCATCGTTACTGGGGCGAGCAGAGGTCTGTCACCTCCGCCGTCCGACCCAGGCCGGGACCGATCCAACTTCTAGGACGCCAGCCCAGCTGGGCGTTGTCGCAGTGCACCTGCGCAGGAATGACCGCTTCCGGCTCAGAGACAATGACGCAACTCAGGGTTTGAGGTCAAACGGGTGACCTGGTAGCGGTCACCATGGAGATGGCGGAGCTAGGGGGCGGAGACACGAGCGGACGGCGGTGGCTGCTCCTTGAGGTCGCGCCCCGGCCCGCCCATCGGACGGCAACGACCAATAATATGTGAGGTTCGCTCGCGCGGCTGCTGCGTCACCTGGGGGAACACCGGAAGCTCTCCGGCGCCGGGGGCGGAGCTTGTCCCTACTCTGCGAGCTGAGTCCCAGAGGCGGCGGTGGCCTGGAGGTTCCTTACTGAGGGGTTGGTTACCTGCCTCACGTCCGCGGGCCTTAGAGAGGCCTTAACCAGACCCCGCAGCGGGCGGCGGCCGGCCTAGGTAGCGTCGGCCCTGCCCCTCGGCGACGCTGCGGAAAAGCGGGCGCGCTTTGTGAGTCAGAGGTGGCGGCGGGAACTGCTCGGACTCCGGAACGTCCCTCCCTGCCTCCCCGGTGACTGACGAAAAGCTCCCCTGGAATAGTGATTTCACCGAGTGACCGTGAGCTCTGGGCGACGCGTAGCTTGTAGTTCTGGCTGCACTCGGCTATTCAGGTACATCCCCGCCTCTTTCTCACCCTAGATTGTCTTCAAATGCCCTAAATTGTGTTGTCGAAAGGACCAAGCAAGATCTGTTACGCAGGTTGAGTTCTAGTCCTGTGTTTGCCAAGCATGTATTGATAATATTATATAACTACAATCAGGTGTTTCGCTAAGTATAATTCTTCCATCAACCCTGGGACTTTAGATGTTATTCCATATTATTAATCTTTAAACTGAGATACAGAGAGTCACGTATCTTGACCAAAATCACACACCTAGGAAATGAAGAGCCTGTCTGTCCCCAAGCCTATGAACAAATTACTTAACTTGCGTGAACCACAGTTTCTTCTTTGTGAAAGAAATGGCATCAGCATGCAGAGTTACTACCATGAGGCCTTTGTATACCTTAATGGGAAATGCAAATAAAAAGTGATTTGTCTCGAAAGCAGTACTAGTGCCTGTCTTGGTAAAACGGGGTTTCATGGGAGTATTGCTCCATTACTAGGCATTTATTCAAATCTTGGTAGAGAAGGAATGCTGTGAGAAAACCACTATTTAGAAGCAGATCTGGACTCAGAAGATGACCGTTGGGAACTAACTCTGGGGGCTGGACATTTACATTCTTTGGGCCTTATTTCCTCTTCTGACTGAAAGAGGGTTGGATTAGAGATGATTTACAAGATTCCTTTCAGATCCAACATTCTACTTTTGCGTGGAAATTACGAGTTTTACTTGGTTCATCAATCACATATACGATATTCGGTTTATATTTATGTAATACATATGCATAATATACACATGTACACATCCTTATGCTTATTCATGTACACGTACTCCGACGTTTGCATGAAGTTACCAATTTTGTGCACGCTGAAGTTCCACCTGGTTTAGCCCTTTTAAAGCTTGAAAACCTAAAGGCAGAGGAATCTTTGGGAGAAAATTTAGAAGTTATGTTAAAGGGATTAGTAGAAGATTATTTCAGAGGTTTCACCAACATTCTATTTTGCCTAATTGGAGATCTACCCAGGAGTTAGGAAACATTTGCTAAACTTGTTGAGGGTTAACTGGGATGGTTCTGCTCTGAGCAAAGGAGAAAGCCCACATAGCTCAGAGCCCACATAGCTCAGAGGCTGCTCCCTGAATCTTTGCAGACACGGATACTTCCCAGGTAGCCTCTTGGAGAGAGAAGGACACAGAGTCTCCAGTGTTTATTCTGTAGTCCCAGTGATCATTTTGAGGTTGGGAACTTTCTTTAGTTCTTCAGTGCTTCTGAGCATAAGTACCTACAAAATAAAGGTGAGCCATTTTTGAATGTACAGAAATGGGTGCAGTCATATTTGGTTCATGGAACTATAAATTGTTAGACCTTTTAGAAAACAGTTTGGATCTATCAAAAACAATTTGCTGGGGAATCTTAAAATCTGAGGTTTGTAATCCTAAAAGTTTCAGGAGTCGTTGGATAATTTTTCTTTATAATTTCCTTGTAATTTTCCAACTTTTCTTTGAGTATGTATTACCTCAAATGGAAAAAGAAAAATGAGTGAACCACTTATTAATAGTAATTGACACTGTGTGCCAGGTCCTGTACCAAATGGTTTACATGCATCATGTCATTGAAACAGCCCAGTGAGGTATAGGTATCATTAATCCCATCTTCAACATTGGGAAACCTGAGCTTTAGGGGCTTAGGTTTAGGAGCTTACCAAAAGGGGCAAAGCTGGTTAAGTGACATTAAGGTATGGTGATCACTCAGACCTTTCTGACCCCTGAAACTAGGCTCTTAATTACCTTCAGTGCCGTCTGATATGATGGTGCTTGAAGCAAAGCTGGATTAAACAAACAGCCCTGGCACTCTGTAGACTGCTGAGATTTTCTGCTAGAGCAGTGCAGGTTCCCTTGAGGCCTAGATTTGGGGGTCTCCTTGGCCTTCCATACCACTTTCAGCCTGCCGTCTGTTGCCATATCCCTTGTCTGGCCAGAGGTGGTTTCCCATATCATTCTGCCAGTTTGAGTTCATTCTGTGCTAAGGAAAGTAAAACTGTAGTCAGTCCTGTGAGGCATTATTTTATGCCACCCAGCATTTTTTAATAAAACATCACGATGACTACTAAACTTTACATTTATTCCTAAAAGGGAATAGACATTTTATAATATAATGAAACATCTTTGGACTCTGAGAGCATGACAAAAGTAAGTTTACTAGTTGCTATACAGTCATTTGAGATCACAAATTTATGGTTTAAAAATAATTTTTTTTAATTGTAACACTGCTGATTTGGAAAATAACAGTGACCAAAATTCTTAGCGTGAGATTGAATTTAGAACTAGATCATACTTACTTACTGTCATAGCAGCTGTTTTTTATGAGTGCTGTTGTAGATCAGGCTAAGGAGTTGTTTATTGGCAATATCAACCCACTGCCTCTCTACGTTGTTTGGCAGGGATAACGTATTTGGGTTGATTTTTAGTGACACTCCTGCTTGCTAGGTATTTCCCCGGACGTTTATTCCTTTCATCTAGTGAGGTAGTGTTGTCATTCCCATTTATAAATGGGAAGAGGTGACCGGCGTAAGGTCAGAAAGCAGAAAGGAGTCAGATCTGAGCCCAGTTCTGCTGATTCTGAGTCGAGCACTCTGTTATAACTTGTATTCCACTCGGGTCCCCTTACCAAATGCCGGGATCCCTTGTGCTTCCTCACTGGCACCTAGGATTGTAAATCAGCAGGTGCCATGCTAGCTCTGTGAGTTTATCTCTGCATTCATGCTCTTTGAGGCATTCTTGGTTTTTCTTTCTCTCTCTGCTTGCTCACACCTCATCCAGTCTATCAGCAAGTGATAGGGCTCTAATTCCAAAATCTGTTCCATGTTCATCTGCTTCTGTCTGAGTTTTATCCTATCTACGCTTAGCCTGGTGCCTTCTAACTGAACTTCCTGCTTCAACTCCTGCCCCTCTGCGATCTGTTCTTTACAGGGCAGCCTGAGTGATCCTTTAATGTAAATTAGATCACGTCCCTCCCCTGGTTTATTTAAACTCTTCAGTTGTTGCCCATCACCTTTAGAAGAAAGTCCACACCCTTCCTGTGGCCTGCTGTGCCCTGGCACGTGTCTCCCTGCTTGACCTCATGTCCTGTCACTGTCCTTGGCTCACTGCTCTCCAGTCACACTGGCTGTGCTTCCTCTACCACACCAGGCTTGTTTCTGTGATGGGGCCTCGCTCCAGTGCTCTGCACTTAACGCCTGCTTGGCTGCCTCTTTCCCCTCATTCGGGTCTCAGCTCTGATGCCTCTTGAGAGAGACCTTTCCTGATATTCCCCCACCTACCCCATCACTCTTATTTCCTTTATCACACTCATTGTAATCCGTGTCTTGTTAATTATCTGTTTATTATTATCTGTTGTAGACATTGTGATAAAAGCCTCATGATGGCAAAGGCCTTGTGTCTGGTTGTTTATTGTGTCTCCACAACCTAAAATAGTGCCTGGTGCCTCAATAATTGTTAAAGAATTTGAATGTAGCTATTGAACAGAAACTAGTATCATTCATTTTAAATCTTAATCTGTTGCTTGCAGTTCATTGCTTAAATGGATATCTGTTTTATTTAGCATTTATGATACTTTTCTCTCTTTTAAAAATAAAATAACTTTTTGGTGAGATAAGGCCCATGAGGATACAAATATTGATGGAGTATTCTTTCTTGTATAGTTTTGAAAATTACTTAATATGTTAATTTTATATAGTTAATACATTGAATATATAAAACCATTGGACATAAATTTCAAAATATGTGTAGTTTTTTTCTTTTTTTGTATTTTTTGTATTTTTTGAATGTGGCTTTGTTTTTTAAAAAAAAATTTATTGAAGTATAGTTGATTTGCATTGTTGGTTAGTTTCAGGTGTATAGCACAGCGATTCAGTTATACATAAGTATATATGTTCTTCAGATTTTCCTCCCTAATAGGTTATTACAAAATATTGAGTATAGTTCCCTGTGCTATACAGTAGGTCATTGTTGGTTATCTATTTTATATATAGTAGTGTGTATATGTTAATCCCAAACATGTATTCCTCCCCTTCTTTCCCCTTTGGTAACCATAAGTTCGTTTTCTATGTGTGTCTGTTTCTGTTTCATAGATAAGTTCATTTGTATCATATTTTGGATTCCACATATAAGTGATATCATGTGGTTATTTGTCTTTCCTTGTCTGACTTCACTTAGTGTGAAAATCTCTAGGTCCATCCATGTTGCTGCAAATGGCATTATTTCATTCTTTTTAATGGCTGAGTAATATTCCATTGTGTGTGTGTGTGTGTGTGTGTGTGTGTGTGTGTGTGTGTGTGTGTATATGACATCTTTATCCATTCATCTGTCAGTGGCCATTTAAGTTGCTTCCATGTCTTGGCTATTGTAAATAGTGGTGCAGTGAACATTGGGGTGCATGTATCTTTTTGAATTATGGTTTTCTCTGGATATATGTCCAGGAGTGGGATTGTAGGATCATATGGTAGCTTTACTTTTAGTTTTTTAAGGAACCTCCATACTGTTCTACATAGAGGCTGTACCAGTTTACATTCCCACCAACATGGTAGGAGGGTTCCTTTTTCTCCACACCCTTTCCAGCGTTTATTATTTGTAGACTTTTTGATAATAGCCATTCTGACTAGTGTAAGGTGATACATCATTGTTGTTTTGATTTGCATTTCTCGAATAATTAGCAATGCTGAGCATCTTTTCATGTGTCTTTGACCATCTGTATGTCTTTGGAGAAATGTCTATTTAGATCTTCTGTCCATTCTTTGATTGGGTTGTTTGATTTTTTGATATTGCACTGTATGAGCCGTTTGTATATTTTGGAGATGAGCCTCTTGTTGGTTGCATTGTTTGAAAATTTTTTATCCCATTCTGTCGGTTGTCTTTTCGTTTTGTTCATGGTTTCCTCTGCTGTGCAAAAGCTTTTAAGTTTAATTAGGTCCCATTTGTTTGTTTTTATTTCCGTTACTCTAGGACAGCGGCCCCAACCTTTTTGGCACCAGGGACTGGTTTCGTGGACGACAATTGTTCCACAGACCGGGGTGGAGTGGGGTGGGGTGGGGGGATGGTTTCAGGATGATTCAAGCGCATTACATTTATTGTGCACTTTATTTCTATTATTATTACATCGTAATATATAATGAAATAATTATACAACTCACCCTAATGCAGAATCAGTGGGAGCCCTGAGCTTGTTTTCATGCAACTAGATGGTCCCATTTGGGGGTGATGGGAGACAGGGACACCCGAAGTGTGTTGCTTATGTCCACTCTACTCCGTGATCTCGTTTTGGTTGCTGTCCCTGTAGAAAACCCTGCTTCACAAGGATAGGATGTTGGAAATGGAAGTAGGTTTTTCAGTGCTTTTGTGGCAATCTCAGGATATTCCACCTTGACTTTAATCCAGACTGTATAGAGATTTGAAGTTGACTCAAACATACTTTTAAGGCCACCGTCATTTGCTATCTCAAGCAGTTGATTCTCTTCTAGCACGGACGAAGTCGATTCACCTGGCTTATTCACAAATGGGTCACGGATCCATACCTTCCCGGTTCGGGAGTCTTTTGTGATTGGGAAGTAATGCTCAGACTCTTCTGAAAGCTGAGATAGGTGATCATGCACTAGTGGGAGAAAGAAGGCCCTGGCTCAGTCTCTTTCAAAATCTCTGCTAATGTTTGAAACATGTCAAAAATCCCAACGTTCACTCGTCACCTCCATAATTCCAGTTTGGCTTTGAATACAGCCACTTTATCTGCCAACTTGAACACAGTTGTCATTCTCCTGTGAAGTGACAGATTGAGTTCGCTGAGCAGGTTGAATATGTCACACAAGTAAGCAAGTTTTGCGACCCATTCTGTGTCACTGAAATGTAGTGCCAGTGGTGACTGTTTTTCTAAAAGAAATCTCAGGAGCGGCTCTCGTAACTCAAAAACTCTGGCCAGTGATCTACCTTTAGAAAGCCATCTCACTTCTGTGTATAAGAGAAGACGTGTGTGCTCTGTGTCCATCTCCTCACAGAACTGCGCAAACAGTTGGGAGTTAAGGGCACGTACTTTAATGTGGTTGATAATGTTAATCACATCCTGCAAAACGTTAAGTTCAGGTGACATTTTTCGGCTAACCAGCCTTTCTCTACGGATGACACAGTGCGTAGACTCACATTCATAAGCGACCTCTTTGACCCAAGTGGTGAAGCCAGAAAGCTGTCTAGTTGTGGCAGGTGCTCCGTCGGCACATATACTGACACAAAATGACCAATTCAGGGCTTCCCTGGTGGCGCAGTGGTTAAGAATCCACCTGCCAATGCAGGGGACACGGGTTCAAGCCCTGGTCCAGGAATATCCCACATGCCTATGTGCCACAACTACTGAGCCTGTGATCTAGACCCTGCGAGCTACAACTACTGAGCCCGTGTGCCACAACTACTGAAGCCTGTGCGCCTAGAGCCCGTTCTCCACAGCAAGAGAAGCCACCACAAGGAGAAGCCCATGCACCGCAATGAAGAGTAACCCCCACTTGCCACAACTAGAGAAAGCCCGCACACAGCAATGAAGACCCAATGCAGCCAAAAGTAAATTAATTAATTTTAAAAAATGACCAATTCAGTTTTCCTGATATGTCCCGATAAGTCCAAAGAGTTGAATAGTTCTGCATCTGTGGTGTTGGTTGGCAACAAAAGTGCACATAACTTATCCTCATGCACATCCTTCTGAAAAATATATTGCACAAAAAACAAGCGTTGTTGCCTTGTTGTCAACATCAGTAGACTCGTCAACGTGGATTGCATACCACGGTGACTCATTAATCCTCTCTAACAATTGTGTCTCAGTATCCTCTGCTGCTATTTCATCAGTTCATCTAGTTATGGTGCTAGCTGCAAGAGGAATACATGCCACCTTTTGAACTGCAGCCTCTCCTAAAAGTTCCCGACAAATGTCCTTAGCAGCAGGCAGGATCAGCTCTTCACCAATAGTAAAGGGCTTCTTAGCTTTAGCAATGTGGTTGGGCACTAAGAAAGATGCTCTCAGTGCAGACACATTTGATGAAGTGGTGGCCTTCAATAATTGCTTCTGTTCTTTGTGTCCATGTTCTTTTCTTTTGAAAAACTCCAAAGGCTTGTCTTTTAATGCAGGGTGCTTGGTCTCCATGTGGTGAAGCAGTTGAAGGTTTCATGGCTTTGTTGGATAGCCAGTTGCCACATATTATACAAAAGCAGGCTTGGAGAATGTGAATAACCTGTTGCAATGAACCCATAATTATGTAGGACTCTTGGTATTTTCTTTTAAATCCAGCTTTCTTTCTGTTGGCAGTCTTAGAGTCTTCTGCTCTCTCATCATTGGGTCTTTCCCCATTTTCAAAGAAGCTCTCCAGAGACGTTTGTTTTTTATGCATTTTGGCTAGGGTTAGCTTGTGGGCTTACCAAAACTCTGACTGAGACAAGTGCGCAGTGCGGGAAGGAGGCACAGTGGAAGTGGTAAATAAAATAATGGGTGGGCCACGCGTGGACTAAATATGTGTTGGATTCTGACTCAAAGCCTGCCACTAGATGCAACTGTACAGTTGAAGTACAGCAACTCACTTGCCACTATAAAGCCTGCCACCAGATGCAGCTTAATTGTCACTTGTCACTCACTGATAGGGTTTTGATATGAGTCTGCAAGCAATTGATTTATTATGGTCTCTGTGCAGTCAGACCTCTCTGCTAATGATAATCTGTATTTGCAGCCACTCGCCAGTGCTAGCATCACTGCCTCAGCTCCACCTCAGATCATCAGGCATTAGATTCTCATAAGGAGCATGCAGCTTAGATCCCTTGCGTGCACAATTCACAGTAGGGTTTGTGCTAATGCGGCTGCTGATCTGACAGGAGG